ATTGATTGGGGACTAAAAAGATGCCCATTAAAAGAAATAGAAGGGGATCGTCCACCGTGGCGCATCCTATATCCCCCTTCTCAGGGAAGACTTGAACGGGGGGTGAGCTAAGGCCTTCCCGGGATGGTAGAAATCAAAGGGCCATTAAAAGACTTAATCACCCGGAAGAGGGGGCCCTGGAAGAAGGGTGCATTTGAACCTTGGAGAGGGTTCGAAACCATTCGACATGGTTAAATCTCCAGTATTCTTACCGGTTAAGAATACTTCAAGAATTACTAGGTTACAGGTGTTTCCATCTACAACCTACCGATAAAAAAAAAAATACCCCGGTCGGGTATGGGCACAACAGAACTTCGAAAGTTCTACATCCGTCGAAAGGCAAGGCATTTGACCGGTCAAACCATGGCGTGGGAATTCACCGGTCAAAGTAAATTTTACCAAAAGGATTGGTGAAGTTATCCAAAATGCGAAAGTAAAGTTCGGCCGGTCAAACTTGTTAAGTTGGCCAAAATGATGAAGACGTTTGAAGAGCAAAAATGGGGGTCTGACCAGTCAAGGTTACTTGAGCTAATCCTTCAGATGAAGTAATCAAAGAGAACTTTGAAGTTCCACCGGTCGAAAACAATTGGGAAGTGGCCTGATTTATGTACCGGTCAGAATTTCTATGATGGTATTCTAAGGAGCAAGATCAAAAAATAAATCAAACAATCAGACGTGGAAGATTAACCGGTATGAAGAGAAAACATGGCATTCAAACGAAATAAGAATGTTAAATGTTTTACAGTTACACCGAGCATTCCCGGGAAAATGAGTTTGAAGTTTTACAAAGAACAACCGGTCTAGGCCGGGGAGATCCTAATCTAAGGGGAAAGGGGGAATGGGCTCTTCTTCTGGGATTGGAGCCAGGCCGTAAGATGTCGCGCTGAAGCTTGGGTCTCTTCTAAGCAGTGCCCGGTGAGAGGCGATCCGGTCTTTCTTTTGTCCACTCTTGAATCCGAAGGATCCAATCGCGGTGATCATTCTCCTTCCTTCAGGCTCCCGGTACAGAAGCCTGAAGGACTCCATCGCGGCCTCCGGCGTCGCCGTCATCACCCGGGCAGCAACGGCTTTGTTCTCTTCAACCCAGGCGACAGCGCGCCCGGGGAAGGTTTCTTCCTTCTCCGCTGCTTCCCTCTTGGCTTCAGAGACCTCGTCCAGAAGCCGGCCATTTTCCTCCTTCAGTTGGGAGATTTCAGTCTTCATTGCCCCGGCCAGCCCAGACAGCCGGATCAGCTCATCAGCCTGGCTCCTCAGGATGAGTGCCATCTCTTCCTTCTCTTTCTTCAGCCGGTCGACTTCAGAAGGGGAACTAATCCCCAACCGGTCCACTGTTTGCGGCCCGATCTCCCCCGCATGTACAAAAACGAAATAGACCAGTAAGTTTCTCGATAAAAAAAACAAATAAAGACCGGGATGGCATCAAGACTTACCTCCTTCAGCCTTAGCCCCAGATTGATGAAGGCCTCCTCGATAGTCTGGCCGGCCGGCTCAGGATCTGACCTTGCCCTTTTCTTGGCGTAGGAAGGGTGCATGGTCGCCACCTTCTTCACCCGGCGACCGGCCTTCTCCTTCTCCTTCCCCTTAGACCGGTTGTCTTGGGACTCATCTTCATCCAGGATTTCCACGGTCTCTGGATTGACCGGGAAAGTCCTGGCAGGATTGGCTTCGGAGCCCCCGGTCTCCCCGGCTGGTTGGTCGTCAGGGATGGCGAACTCTTCGAACTCCATATCTGCAAAAGAAACTAAAACCGTTAAGTACAAGTAGTTTGACCGGTCAACTACGAATCACGAGAAAAATGAAAAGTACCTGGGTGGGAGTTGCCCTCAGCCTCCGCAGTGTTGCCCGGGGAGGGTACCCCGCGCCCCGCTGCGTCATGGGCCTGGGAGGTACCCTCGCCACCTGATTCAACCCTCCAAACCCAGCTGCCATAATGGAAAGTCCTCCCGGTGAAAGGATCCCCACGCATGAAGACCTCAAGATTCGCTTCCAAGTCCGGGGAGGAAGCCGGTGCAGTGTACTCTTGGTCGAGCAGATGATCATTCCACTTCAGGCCGGCCAGAGGAGTGAAGAAGGGGGGAAATTCGATGAAAACAAATTTTTCCTTCCATCCCCGGTTACTCTGGGGGACTTCGGAAATGAACTTCCTACCGGTGCGGGCTTTGAAGAATACAAAACCTTCGCAGCCAGCCCCGCTCGGTAGGACTTCGAAGCAAAAAAGGAAAAGACGCAAAGAAGGGAAGATTTTCAGATGGGTACAGATATTTACGAAGGAGTGGAGGTACCGGTGGGCGTTAGGAGTTATTTGGCCGGGCAAAATCCTAAACGCATGGCAAACCTCAGTAAGGAGGGGGCGAAGGGGAAAAACTATGCCCGCGTCCAGGGAAATGGTATGAAACCCTATCCTATCCTCCCGGTGGGGTTCAACGATATTGGGCCAGTTAGGTTCGTAGAGGAGGGTATACCCATCCGGGAGCCTCCTACGGATTTTATTTAAAGC